CAACGCTAGGAAGCGTCTTGATGCTGTCCTGTCATGGCAGCTTCTTATCAGACAGAGGTACATAGTTGAAAGGCGGAACAATGGCTTCGGTACCCTCTCCTTTCCCAAAGATGGTGCCGGCACGACCGAAGTCCGAAGAAATAGTTTCGGCGGGTTCAATTTCCTTTTCCGGTGGCTAGAATGAAGGTGAATGCGTGTCCTATAACGGTATAGGATTGGTTACTGCCGAGTACTTCATCTCATACCAAACTAGTCCTATCCTAGACTATAACAGAGGCCCTGGCCTTTGTACATTTGCTGCTAAGCGCGGTGTAAAAGTGATATCGCGCAGCAAGAAATCCGATACGATGTTGAAAAAACATCAACCAAGAGGGGGCTATAAAAAGCATTGCCAGTGAAGAAAACACACCGATTTGTGTCCTGGCTTGCCGATGATAATTGACATACGACGGGCTTTGGATAGGAATTCTAGCCGAATTCACCAGTGGCGGAACAATTGTGGCCGACGCAGAAACCGTAGCAGCTCCAAGCGGATCAAAGAAGACTGTCGTAGCTCTGAAACTCAAATAGCTCACTAAAGACAATTGCAAGAGTATTGGCATAGTATGCTGAGAAATCTTCTGATATTTGATATTCTATTTGATATTTTATATGCCTCTTGAAATTCATAGATAGGGGCTTTTGTTGAAGTGACCTCTGACATAATTTTGACTTTTATTGCTGTCGCCCTTATGTATCTTCAACAAAAGATCCTATCGATCTTGAAAGGCACATTGAATATTGACAGAAAAATTATAATAGTAACAAATACTGTATGGAGTGAAAAGGTCCAGAAAATGTCGCAAAAAAACCCAAAAACTTCAAAGATTGCTTACGCTACTTATGGTTCGAATATTACAAACTTTTAGATCCTAATGAGGCTTCCGATTACCACAGTATTAAAATGATAGGACCCTGTTTAACTATTACTACCCAAATCTTCCGAAAACACACCAGTTTTTCACAGACTTTTTCCGAATGGGACAAATTTGTTTGAAACCTCGGTCATAGGGATAGTTCGCCCCCCTGAACACAATCATATTTACTTAGCCTGAAGCTGCCTGGCGCCCGCGCCACTGGTGCCGGAGCCAAAAACTCCGAATCACCCCGTGCGCTCAAACTTGTACAAGGGATTATTTGACATCCTGATCACGAGTATAACATCCATCCTCGGCGTTGGTGCTGATTGAGGGCACTACGATCATCTTAAAGGGAATCACTCCTTCCACGCTCGCAGAATGCTAAATGGCGCTAGCGTCGAAAAATGAATGCCATATTTGTGATCAGGGCACCAAACAACCCTATTATGCGAGTTTTTATTGATTTTGATGAAAAGAGGGTGTGGTGCTAAATTGGCTTCTAATGGCGCCAAATGGTGACAGGGCTAAAAGTGGATGCAATATTCGTGGTTAGGACACCGAATAATCCCAGTGTACAAGTTTGCACCGAATTTTCTGGGAGAAGTGATGATGCCAAATTGGCGCATAGTGGCGCCAAATGGCGCCAACGTCAAAAATAAATGTCTTGTTCGTGATCAAGGCATCGAGTTACCCTTATGGGCAAAGTTTCACCAAATATTTGATTTGGGTTTTTGGAGTAGTAGTAGTAGTAGTAGTAGTAGCAGTAGTAGTAGTAGTGGAACAGTGCCAATAGTAGTAACAGGTAAAAGGCAATTACATAGCACTATGGCAGTATAGTAGCAGATAGTAGAACTTGACTG